AGCTTATGTTTTCAAGAGAAGGAAGACTGCAAACGCAGGAGGAGGGGCAGGGGGGTATTAATGTTTTTCTTTAGAGGCAGTACCATTTTTGTTGTTTTTTTTTTTTTGAGCTGTACTGCATTTTAAAGCCACGCTCGCTAAAAAAAAAACAAAAAAAAAAAACTTTTTTTTTTTTTTTAAATATATAATGTGCAGCCTTGAATATATAATGGAAAGGGCTACAAACCTGTTAAGCATGCCATACACTGATCGAAATTCGGGCAGGTTCAGCAGGGACTGGCCAATTTCAATTTCAAACAGTGTGTGGTCATCCCTGCGCAACAGAAGTCGATCATATGATTGACTTCTGTCGAGGGGGCAAGGTGAAAATGTTTGTCGATAAGTGGCTACAGCCACTGATCACTGTATTCAAACAGTGGCGGGTCATCTTGAGTTTTTACAATGCAAGGCGCAACGTTTTTCCTTTTTTTGTTCCCTCCCTAAAAACTTCCACAGAATGTTACAACGTGACATTCCTTTAATTTCTATGCATGCCAGGGGCTGTGCATAAAAAACGCAGGGTTGCACAGAGACAAGACAGAAAAACGCAGACAGTTTGGATTTTTCCACACCGCTCTGCCCCTAAGCTGACAGCTGCAAGAAAGAGCGAACAGGACACACAAAGAACCATTGTTTTCTGTGTGCCCCCTACAGAGAAAAATGCAGCTCTCCAGTGAAGTGTGAAACGGCTCTTACGCTCTGGTCACATCGGGTGCGACTTGGCATGCAATTTGCAAGTCTTATGCCAAGTCGCACCCTATTGTCTGCAATTGGAGCGTTCAAATCAGTGCGGTTCCGACCCGCACCTATTTCTAAAGTAGTACATGCATACTTCTGGAGCAATTTGCATAGATATCTGTGTCAGATGTCTTGCAAATCACACCTGAAATCGGCATCTCACCCGACTTTGAAATTGTGCGACTTCACCGTATGTTGCACGATTTCAAAGTTGGGCTTGATGTGACTGGGGAAAAAGAAATGGCATTAGCCTCTAAGCACTGCCTCTCTGCAGGAAGTGACCCACAGCTATCAGTGTGCTAGGAGCCACGTTCTAGGTACACAAATCGCAGAGCTGCTGAGGAAGTACATGCAGGGCCAATGGGTATTAAAGCCCACTCTACCTGATGCTGTATTTATGCATTATACATTTAGGGAGAGGTGAACATTAAGGGTACTTGCACACGGTACTGATGTATGAACAGAAAATATTCCTGGCAGAAAAAAAAAAAGCAAAGACGGGCAGGAGAGAGGGAGGGGAGAGGGAGGGGGGAGGGGGGAGGGGGAGAGGGGAGGGGGAGGGGGGGGGGGGAGAGAGAGGGAGAGAGAGAGAGAGAGAGAGGGGGGGGCAGAGAGAGAGAGAGAGGGGGGGGCAGAGAGAGAGAGAGGGGGGGGGCAGAGAGAGAGAGAGAGAGGGGGGGGGGCAGAGAGAGAGAGAGGGGGGCAGAGAGAGAGGGGGGCAGAGAGAGAGGGGGGGCAGAGAGAGAGAGGGGGGGAGAGAGAGAGAGGGAGAGAGAGGGGGGGCAGAGAGAGAGAGAGGGGGGGCAGAGAGAGAGAGAGAGGGGGGGCAGAGAGAGAGAGAGAGAGGGGGGGGGCAGAGAGAGAGAGAGAGAGCGCGCTCTCACATATAAATACTGATCAGCAATGTGGCATTTTTAGGCAGCCCATCCTCTTGCACAAAGGACACCTAAAAACACCACATTTTTAAGCATTTTTTTCTTTTTACAGTTCTAAATCCAGTCCATTGTTTTTAATGAGCCTGTACACACAGGCATGCAAGTTTACGCTATAGATCAGTTTAAAAAAAAAAATATTTCTGCTCAGTATTTTTACATGCAAATACACCTTCTCTTGACTTATAAAACTGAAAGGATTTTACACGTACATGCAAATATGGCATATTCTTCACATCTAATGTTCATACATCAGCAAGCACCCTTAAAGTGTTACTAAACCCAGGACCCTGCATTCACTATATCTGGTCTCCCACAGTACACAGAACATGGAAATGCAATTATTTTAGTAAATATAAACTGCTAAATAGCTTTTCTCATCAGCAGTTAGAGCAGTCTTGTGATTTCTATCAGTGTCCGGCCGAGCACTGGTGAATCTTGTAGGAGTTTCCATTCCTCTCTGACTGTCCTATGAGGCTGCATGACCCCTGACCTCTGTCCGGACATAGGATTAGCCCTGTGCTGATCACATGCACCCTCTCAAACAAGACAAACAAAAAAAAAAATTTCTAGCAATATACACCAACAGGGCATGGGCAGACTTGCTGCTCTGTACGGTAGCAGATGAACTGGGGACAGTAAAAGAAGGGGAGGATCAGAGAAGACAGGATCAAACAGCCTTTTTTGCATAGTGTGGAGGATTAACCCCTCAAGTTCCATAGTGAGTATAACAAGCATACTTTTCTGCATATACAGACATGGTTTTACTGTTGTGGGTTTAATAACACCTTAAAGCAGTACTAAAGTGTAGTAATTTTGTATACTTCTACCTACAGGTAAGCTTTATTATACAATGAATATCTCTTACACGTGCATCATTTAGGAGGTATTGTAGTGAGCGGCAGTCGGTGACATCATAAAGGTGACATCATGAAGGAATGGCATACCAGTGCTATTCCTTCAGAACGACGTACCGTGGCCATAGCTCCAACACTGCAGGGGGCTTGGTTTCAGAAATTTGCTAGGAGAGATGTCATCACGGCTTTGGTCATACACCAGTGGCTGCAGCCTGGAGAGAAGATGGAAGCCTCTGCAGCGGTGACAGTGCACTGCAAGGGGGGGCTTGGTTTCATGAATTTGCTAGTATGCGATGCGAGAGGAAAATGATTTATTACAGGTACTTGCATAGCAAGGGGTTTTACATACACACACTTGGCAATCAGTCACCCACCAGCCTGACCCTCAAGGAGCTTACATGGTTGGGATTCGAACCAACGACCCTAAGGTACTTCATTAACTCTGTGCTGCCCATATTGCGGTTTACCAATACACATTACTAGGGCCAATTCACCTACCAGCATGTCTTTGGACTTGTTTTATGACTAAAAAATAATAATTTTTTTTTTTTGGTTAAAAAAAAAACAAAAAAAAAAACTAAAAAAAACACTAGAAGTTTTTTAGCTGCAAAAAAAGTGACTAAAAAAAATAATGGCAAAAAAAAAAAATAAAAAAACGCCACCAAATGCTAACATAAAAACGCTAAAAAAACTCCCGTTTTTTTAAACATGACTTTACACAGCTAACGTGACCAGCGTTATTAACACGCCCCGTGTGCATGGAGCCCTACTCATGAAAAATCTTTATTCCAAAGGAAAAAAAAAAAAAAAAAACTGCTGGAACTGATTAAAAAGTGTGAGCTGGAATTTGGCTTCAACTTGATAGTGTATCTAAATCTGCTAGTATATTCAACACTCCCCTGCCCCCAAGACTGACAATTCTGCTGTCCAAATGTCCCCCCTGTGCTCATTCATCCAGAGTGGGGACACTCTAATACAGAGGTGTGCTATTGGCCAGATCACCAGGGGAAAATAGAGGGAGAAAAAAAAAAAAAAAGGCTAAAAAAAAGAAAAAAAAACGAGTGCAGCCACCACTTCCAGGGTTTTTTCCTCTTCAGAGAAGAGGGTGCAGGAACTCCCCCCTACTGAGTCACCTCTTGTCTTAGCCCCCCCCCACCTCTGAGCACCGTTCCTGGGTTCAACCCCCTACCCACCTCCCAGTACTGCCCCTTTTATAGTATAGAGCCCCAGCTATCATTTTGTGGCGCTTAGTCATTTGTATGGAATTGAGTAATGATACCAAGAAAATCCGTAAAATAGATCCCTACAGCCAGCAACAATATATCCCCACAGCAACAGTAGACCTTTCCACCAACAATGGACACCCCCCCTCAACAAAATACCCCTCCAGGAACAACAGATCCCTCCGAACAACAGATCCCTCCCAGCAACAATTGACCCACCTAGCAACATAAGACCCACCCCAAGCAACAATAGACCCCTTTCTGCAAAAATAGATCTTCTCCAGCACCAGTAGATCCCTCAGCAACATAAGACTCATCCTAACAACAGATCCACCATCAGCAACAATAGACCCCTTTCTGCAAAAATAGATCCCTCCCAGCAACAATTGACCACCCAGCAACATAAGACCCATTTCCGCAAAAATATATTCTCCAGCAACGACAGATCTCCCACCAGCAACAATAGACCCTTTCCTGCAAAAATAGATCTTCTTCGGCAACAATAGTTCCCCCGCCAACAACAATAGACCCTTTCCCGCAAAAATAGCAACAATATTTCCCCACCAACAACAATAGACCCTTTCCCGCAAAAATAGATCATCTCCAGCAACAATAGACCCTTTCAGCAAAAAAATCTTCAGCAAAAATATATCCCCCACCAGCAACAATAGCCCCTTGCCGGCAAAAATAGATCTTCAGCAACAATAGATCCCCCACCAGCAACAATAGACCCTCTCCAGCAAAAATGTATCTTCTCCAACAACAACAGACCCTTTCCCGCAAAAATAGATCCATCCACATAAGATCCATCCACAGCAACAACAGATCCCCAACCAGAAACAATAGACCAATTTCTGCTAAAATAGATCTTCTCCAGCATCAATAGACCCTCCAGTACCCGTTGCTATCTCATAGATCCAGTGGTGGAGGTGCCGGAGCTGCGTCCCCCAGCAGTAACGCCCTGCCCCCATCCAATGATCGGTAAGCTGCAATCTATTTCCAGATCCCAGTGATTGGATCCTTCCTCCGTGGATGGATATAGAGGACATGTGACTTGTACGGTGGATCATCGTATGCAGAGGTCAGGGATGGGGAGCGAGGAGCAGCCTGAACACATCCAGCGCGGTGCAATGCCTCCTCCAGCCTGCCCGCTATCTCCGGGGGCTCCCCCGGTGCCCTCCCATCTCAGCTGGTGACAGGACACTACTCACTTATTCCCCAGGTAATCGTGTAGTTTGATCCGGCCGATGGTGGTGTCGGCCTCGATGTTGGGGAAGACTTCTCCGAGCAGGATCCCGGGCATGGCGGCTGTCACTACGAATGATAGACACGTGAGACCGCGGCTGGCACCAGAGTCAGGAGCGGGCGGGGTCGGTCAGGAAAGGGGAGGGGCATAACCTCGGCTTTGACAGGAGCTCTGGTGGGCAGGGCAGAGCATGGGCGTGCCTCAGTCTTAGGTGTGAGTGTGTGATTGGCTGCACAGCTGCACAAAAAAAAAAAAATCCCAATACATGTAAACGAATTGACTTGTGTGAAGTTATAGTGTTTACAAATGGCGGTACATATGCTAGAATTTTGTTTTTTTTTTCTTAGTAATGGTAATCAGCAACTTATAGCAGGTATGCGGTGGGCATTCTGACACTGGGGGAGGAACTGACTTTGTGTCACTGACATCCCCCGGTGACACCAATACAGTGATCCGTGCTAATAAAAAGCACTGACGCTGTACTAATGGCACTAGGCAGGAAGGGATTAACATGTGGGGCGGGGCAAAGGGGTTAACTGTGGTGCTTTACACTGTAAGAACACTGCTGTGTATGGCTCTGCTATGCAGAGCCATACAAAGCAGTGTGCAGGAGCTGACAGGGGAGAGATCTGTGAACGCCAGGTGCCGACAGGGAATCACCGGCCGGGACCCAGTGATTGACAGCTGAGCCTGCGAATGGCAGTGCGGGTAGAGCGCGCACGCGCCCCCCTACCCGGAAAATCAAAATCATGTATATATACGTGATTTTTTTCGCACCAGTGACTCCCTGTAGCAGTATTTCTCCTATATGGTGGTGCGGAATTGGTTAATGTTATCAATGCAACAATAAAGCCAAAGTCGCACCCATCCAAAGTTACATCAAAGTCACAATGGAAATCGCACGACTTTGGAGTTACATAAGTGTGAATGAAATCTGGACCTTGTGCAGGGCTGTGTTTACCAGCACAGGGATGGACAGGTGTTCCGGGCATCCCGTTGTCGGCTGTCCCATAGCTGTTAATTGGGATGCAACGGTTGCACGGACACAGCCGCTGCTCCCAATGTGACATCCATGTGGATGCATGTACCCAAACACAACCTAGGGTGCATTTGGGACTCTGCACCCCCACCAACAGGAATGTCACATTGGGAGCAGCAGCTGTGCCCGTGCATTCATTGCATCCCAGTTAACAGCTATGGGACGGCCGACAGAGAGATGCCCTAAACGCCTGTCCGTCCCTGTGCCGGTAACCATGGGCCTGCATGGATTAACCACTTGCCGACCCGCCGCAGTGTTTTTACTGTGGCAGGGCGACACCTCTGTGCACAGCGCCGTCTTTTAACGTCGCTGTACAAAACAGGTAGGGGATGCGCATTTTGCCCACCCTACCCGTCCTGCCCGTGGCAGAGGATGTCCATCACCGGGTCCCAGCGATTACCGGTAATCACTGACACATGCACGGCACGGCTGCAGGGTAAAGGGTTTACACTGCAGCTCTGCCATCTGAGTCAGTTTAGCAGCTGTACAAGTGCGGAATGATCTCAGCCTTCAGTGATTCTAAGGCTGGGTTCACACTGATGCAGTGCGGAATTCGCAGCGGTTTTTGTGCAAATTCTGCACCGCATTAGAATCGCTGTGGGTGTTCCTGTGAAGCACACTACCCCGCCCCCTAGTAAAACACTCCCCTCACATAGTTAAAGCTTTCATTACATAAAAATGTTAACCCCTTCCTCCCGATTTTAGTGCCATTAGTAAAAGGGTCAGTTTTTTTTTTTTTTTTAACGGATCACTGTATTGGTGTCACTGGGGATGTCAGTGACCCCAAGTCAGCACCCCCCAGTGTCAGAATGTCCGCACAGGGATGCAGTCCCGCCATAAGTGCTGATCACAGTCATAGATCGCTGATCACCTCCATAAGTCGCTGATCGCCGCCATTATTATTGTATAATAAGAAAAATCCCAGTATCTTTCTTGTCATTTGTAGACGTGATAACTTTCACGTCTATACAACATGCAATTAGAACATTTGCACTTCGCACCAGATTTTTTTTGCAGGATCTTTCTGCCAGCACCATCCGGTGTACATTTCAGTTTTTAAGGCCCATGTGCATATGCAGAATACTTAAGAAATTAATGACTTAAATTTCATTTTTTCAACATTGAATTTTTTTGGACATGTTTATGCTATAGCAAAAAGTCCAAAATATATTGTTTTTACCTTTTCCTCAAAATTGTTTTTTTTTTTTTTTTACAGCGCAAAAAATAAAAAGTGCACAGGCAATCAAATACCACCAAAGAAAGCTCAATTTGGGGGAAAAAAAGGATGTAAATTTCATTTATGTACCGTATTGCATGACCACTAAGAGCAGTTGTCTGTTAAACTAGCGCAGTGCTGTATAGCAGAAAAATGGCGTAAATTGTAGTATTTATACCATAGTTTTTGAAGTGCTATAACTTCCACAGCAAAGCAAAAAATATACACTCATTGGATGGATTTTTTGAATATTTACCAAAAAATTAAATTGTGTTTTTGATTTGTGTTGCTCAGATGCAGTTTAGGTCATTTTTAAGGACTCATGCACTATGGATGCACTTGGGAGCACAGTGCAAGAATTCAGTGGTTTTTCCTGGGAAAAATTAGGTGTTTTTTTCAGTCACAGCTTGTACAAGCCAATGGCAGGCTCTTGATGCATATGAGTGATTACACATGTTTGGACTGTAACAGTCCCAAAACTTCTATTTAGAGCCACCATCTGAGGAGACAAGAGTCAACATTTGGGTTACTATCATTTGAGGAACCAGCATGTAGCAATAATCATCTTTGAGTACCTATTTATAGATTGTTTTCACTAATAAAATGTAATTATTGCCAAACAGTATCCTCTGCCTTTTTCTGTTCTTCTGTGGGAGGACTTCAATGTCTTGGAAAGTAAGCAGTGCTGTTTTCGGGGAGATTTTTGGAGTCATCTGAGGGTATGAGTGGACCTGATTGGCAATTAGTTAGCTTCCTGGAAGTGTTAATTTTTAGGTTATAAAACAATAAAACAAATTTCTCCTATAATCACTATCTTCTGCAGAATGTACACTGAGCTGCACATGCGCATGCGCAGCTTAGTGCATTCCCAGTACCCCTAAGCGACTTTTTTGGTGAGATCAGATGATGTAAGGGCAGAGGAGATATCTAGAATCCAATAGACCCCAGATTTCTCAGAATAGTCCTGATCAACGTCTATTTGCTGTCATGGGGAATATTTACATTCCCTGTGACAACATTTGTAAAAGCTATAAACCAAAAAATTTACATGTACAGTGTAAAATGAAAAATACATTTTGAAAAAAATATATGATGCCATTTAGATTTTTTAAAAAAAAAACGCAACTGTCATAAAAAATATCCAAAAAAATCTAAAATTTTGTTAAATTTTCAAAATGTATTCTGTACTTTTTTGGTTTATAGTGCAAAAATCCCATAAGTGTTTACCATACGGGTTTTCGATACCCCTATGGTCTGCATAACGCTGCTTTTTGGAGGGACGACTATACTAATGTGAATGCTGGTATAGTGTGATCTGATCAAAGGTGGGGTTCAAAGTAAAATATTTTAAGTTTTGAGCCTTTTTGGAGCCATGTCCCAGACCTGCACTACTACAGGCCGTCAGAGGCTGAATCATCCGAAATCCGGGCTGTACACACCCAACCATGTTTATCTATTGTTCCTTCTACAGATCAGGGGGCTGGCTGATGTGATCAAAGATATCCGTTCATGAAAGACACTGTACATACAATGGAGGTTTATTGTGCCGCATCACCCAATTATGATTGCATGACCACAGTACCCACAGGCAATCTGACGGGAACTATCCATCCCGGTGTGAACGACGGCAAGATATAATATATCTATATAAAATTTGTGCACCCATGCCCCCTGTAGCAACTGCTGCTATAGGGCGGTCAGGAAGCAGTTACAGAAGCGGTTTGTGTTGCATCACTGCATTACTTTGACAAGTGATACGGTCATGCAACACTGCACCCAAATTAGATTTACGCCTTTTTCCACCCACAAATTGAGCTTTCGGTGGTATTTGATCTTCTGTGCGTTTTTATTTTTTGCGCATCAATGAAAAAAAAAGGTTGACAATTTTGATGAGTGTTCAAGCTGCAAAACAATATTACTCCACCCCAACTCACCGATTATTCATATGCTAATATAAAAGATACACTGTACTCGCCCCCTGCTCCGCAATTTCCTCCTTCATTCGCTCAGAGATGAAATGATCATTCCGCCACATGTTTGGCTCCACCTGCTTGCAAAGGCTTCGAAATCCATAGGTCCGTCAGATACTGCCATTTCTGCATTTTTTTTATACTAATAATGTTGGTGATCAGTGAGATGGCCAGCTCCGGACATTCTGACACAGTGGTGTTGGGGTTGCTAAGCAACACGTAGGGTCACTGACATCCCCTTCCACCATGCAAAAAAAAAAAACAAAAAACACTGACACTGTACTAATGGCACTGGGGGGAGGAAGAGGTTAACTTTTTTTTTTAGGTACTGAAAGGGTTAACTGTGTGAGGGGAGTGTTTTACTAGGATGAGCCTGTGCTCCGAACTGACAGGGAGCAGACTTGCAGGTGTAAACACTGCAGTTGTGCTCTCTGTCAGTGATTGCTGGCTCCCAGTAGCAGCAAGATGACTCCCCCCCCCCCCCCCATGAAGATTTTGTCTCCCTGAACTCTCTAATGTCAAGTTTCACAAACGAGCAGAGGGATGTAGAGAGCTACTGCATCTGACAGGAAACCTTTCCATGACTTCTTCATCTTGCTATTGATCTGAGGGTTCAGCTTCAACCTGCGGGTCCGTGACCCCTTTGGGTTGACCCTTTCACGCGGGTCCCCTTAGACCAACCGAAAGACACATGATTTGCGTGTCTCCTACCAGGCAGCTACTCCTCTACAATAGAGCTGCTGCTGCAGAATAGAGCTCCAGTTTTTAATAGGAAAACATGACTTCCACTCATGAATTTTTTTTTGGGTAGTGAACTTTATGGTTGTCACCAAACATGAGCAGAGGCTGTATTAAAGGAGCTCCACTCGACAGGAAACATGTGACCTTCACTGCTCTAAATGTTTTAAATTCATTATCAAAAATAAATGGTGGAATGGAGGTCACATGTTTCCTGTTGAAAGTGGAGCTCCAGTCTACAGCCAGCTTTTCCAATGAAAAACCTTTTGCTGGGAAGAATGTGGCCAATGAGGAGGTGGATAGCTGTGACCCGGAAGTGTTGGCTGTGTGCTCCATGCGGTGACTGAGGAAGTGATGGTGGGAAGATGAATCTGTTACTGAAGAGCAGTAAGGAGTTCTCCTCCAGCGAGTACTGGGAGCAGTTCTTCCGGCGCACAGGGGGGTGCGGGCCTTCCAGTGGTATGGCGGATACTTGGAGCTGTGTGGTGTGCTGCACAAATACATTCAACACAAAGACAAGGTGTGTACATGGACTGCTGGCTGCCTTCCCTTCTCTCACTCCCTCCTGTGAGCTCTGCATTAGGGCTCCAGCACAGAACCCTGTGTTCAGTTTCCTATGGATCTGAATGCAGTAACACTCCAAGGCCTGGCCTCCTTCACATAGTGTTCAAGGCTCCATTCACCTTGTGCGACTTGGGAAAAAATAAACTTGACAAAAGTCACATGACAAGTTGCAACCCATGTATTTCAATGGAAGCTGTTCAAATCCATGCAACGAAAGTCGCAGCGACTTTAAAAAGGTTCCTGTGCTACTTATGTGACTTCATCATGCGACTGGAGTGATATAGACTGCAATGTAAACTCTCAAAAGTTGCATGAAAGTCGCATCTTAACCACTTGATTTGATTTCCCCCTTCCTGACCAGGCTATTTTTTTGCGATACAGAGCTGTTACTTTAACTGACAATTGCGCGGTCATGCAATGCTGTACCCAAATTAAATTTGTGTCTTTTTTTTCCCCACAAATAGAGCTTTCTTTTGATGGTATTTGATTGCCTGTGCGGTTTTTTATTTTTTGCGTTTTATAAACAAAAAAATAGACAACTTTTGAAAAAAAAAAAACTATACTTTTGACTTTTTTCTATTAAACATCTCCAGTAAATAATCAAATTTCTACATAAAATTTAGACCAAAAGGTATTCTGCTCCATGTCTTTGCTAAAAAAAAAAATCCCAATACATGTAAACGAATTGACTTGCGTGGAAGTATAGCAGTTTTTACAAATGGTGGTACATATGCTAGAATGTTTTTTTGTTTTTTTTTTTAGTTTTTTTTAGTAGTGCGGCGATCAGCAACTTATAGCAGGTATGCGGCGGGCATTCTGACACTGGGGGGAACTGACTTTGTGTCACTGACATCCCCAGTGACACCAATACAGTGATCCGTGCTAATAAAAAGCACTGACGCTGTACTAATGGCACTAGGCAGGAAGGGGTTAACATGTGGGGGATCAAGGGGTTAACTGTGTGTGCTTTACACTGTAAGAACACTGCTGTGTATGGCTCTGCTATGCAGAGCCACACAAAGCAGTGTGCAGGAGCTGACGGGAGAGATCTGTGAACGCCAGGTGCCGACGGGGAATCACCGGCCGGGACCCAGTGATTGAAAGCTGAGCCTGCGAATGGCAGTGCGGGTAGGGCACGCACGCCCCTCTACCCGGAAATCAAAATCATGTATATATACGTGATTTTTCGCACAGTGTGCCTCCCTGTAGCAGTATTTCTCCTATATGGTGGTGCGGAATTGGTTAATGTTATCAATGCAACAAGTAAAGCCAAAGTCGCACCCATCCAAAGTTACATCAAAGTCACAATGGAAATCGCATGATTTTGGAGTTACATAAGTGTGAATGAAATCTGGACCTTGTGCAGGGCTGTGTTTACCAGCACGGGGATGGACAGGTGTTCCGGGCATTGTCGGCTGTCCCATAGCTGTTAATTGGGATGCAACGGTTGCACGGACACAGCCGCTGCTCCCAATGGACATCCATGTGGATGCATGTACCCAAACACAACCTAGGGTGCATTTGGGACTCTGCACCCCCACCAACAGGAATGTCACATTGGGAGCAGCAGCTGTGCCCGTGCATTCATTGCATCCCAGTTAACAGCTATGGGATTAAAATGCCCAGTGTGAATGAGGCCTATGGACCAATACACACTGGGTCCATCGGCTGCAGCCACTGGGATTGTGTGTAAAACTAACAAGCGGACTCCTGTCTGTTAGGTGGAAGCATTTTGGGCGGCTGTACTACTGCCCAATTGCTTTCATATACCCCTGGTAACGGTGCCCCTGTCATGTATTCTGGACTGGCATAGCGGGTGCCACAGGGTAAAGGGGAGAGAGGCCCTGCTCTCTGTCCCTGGTTGAGTCATTCACTAGGCAGCTGTACAAGTGCGGAATGATCTCAGCCTTCAGTGATTCTAAGGCTGGGTTCACACTGATGCAGTGCGGAATTCGCAGCGTTTTCTGTGCGAATTCTGCACCGCATCAGAATCGTACCCCTTTCATGCGAACTGTTGCGGGTGTGTATGTTAGGTTAACAACACCCCGAAATCGGTCCGCAAAACATGGTGCGATGTGCAGAATCGGATCGCATAGGTGTGAATACCCATGCGATCCGATTCTAGTGTGGACCAAAAAAGGGTCCTACACCTTTTTGGTGCGATTGGAGCCATACAAAATGTATGGCTTCAATGGCACCGCACACAAATCGCATGTGATTTGCACAGGGATGCGGTGCAGTTCCTGTGTGAATCACATGCGATATATATACTACAACGCATGTATGTGAACCCAGCCTACATGAATGATTTTGTTTGCTTACATTGCGTTCATTGACATCTGCCACACACATTTCAACTCTATACAGACATGCGGACCAGGTTTTTCTGCAGGATCTTTCTGCCAGCACCATCCAGTGTACATTTTAATTTTTTAGGCCCATGTGCATATGCCCTTAAGAAATCAATGATCCTTAAATCGGAACTTCACTCTTTCAGTCAACATTGACTATTTTTAATCCTTATGCTGCTAGCAATAGATAGGAAAGTATATTGTATTTACCTGTTTTTAAACTTTTTTTTTTTTTAACATTTCTTCAGTTACTCCCTGGTTTCTGTGCCTAGGCAAATGATATCCTACATCCCAGGAGTCTTTAGGGGGGAGGAGGGGCTTTCTTGGCTAAGCACACACCCCTGTTTGCTTGCCTGAGCTAAGAGCAGATGGATTACAGGAAGTAAATGCTACAGGAATCATCTGCCCTTACTCAAGATGGCCACAGCTAGAAATGCTTGGGCTGTTTTTCAAAGTGATTTCTCAGCAAAATAAAAAAATTAGACATGGATGGATGGGGGAGTTTGCTTTGACTATTAAAAATGAATTAAATTGTGTTTTTGATTTGTGTTGCTCAGATGCAGTTTAGTTCATTTTTAAGGACTTATGCACATGGGAGCCACATGTATTCGCTTTCAGTCACTGCCTGTACAAGTCAATGACAGGCTCTAATTTTTAGGTTCTAAAACCAATAAAACAAACTTACCTCCCTAATCACTATCTTCTCTAGAATGTACACTGAGCTGCACATGCGCAGCTCAGTGTACATTCTCTGTACCCCTAAGTGACATCTGAAGTCCTGCATCCGGAAGAATCACAGGAGATGATTCCAGTGTCGGGAGGTTAGTATTTGTGGACTTCAGATCTGCTTTAACCCTCCCCTACTTTACCCAAAGTTATATCTTTAAATATACTTTCACTAGAGTGCTGTACTGAGCTTTAATAAGTGTTGGAAGAATTAATTATGGGAAAAAGGAGAGATCCTTTCACCACCTACTGTACACTGCATTCATTCATTCAATGATAGAAGGTAGTGACAGGTCTTGGTCTGCACCAGGTTTTACATAACTGGTTTGTACATCTTGTTTCTTGCAGGTGCTAGTGGTGGGCTGTGGCAACTCAGAGTTAAGTGAAAGGCTATATGATGCTGGATGCCAGAATCTGACCAATATTGATGTGAGTGAGGTGGTCATTCACCAAATGAACGAGCGAAATGCCAAACGAAGACCTCTGATGACATATCAGTTGATGGATGCCACACAGACTACATTTTCTGATTCTCACTTTCAGGCTGTGTTGGATAAGGGGACATTGGATGCCATACTCCCTGATACAGAAGAGAGAACTCTGGAAACTGCTACAAAGTTCCTGGTTGAAATTGGTCGTGTCTTGCAATATGGCGGACGATATGTTTGTGTATCTTTGGCTCAAGGCCACGTCTTGGACAAACTAGTAAATCAGTTCTCCCAAGGTGGATGGATGGTTCGAGTTCATCAAGTATCAGAAGGCAGCAGCAATGAGTCTGGCAGTCAGTTTCCTTTACCAGTGTTTGTATTTGTGATGACAAAGATGCGACCGATGCCAGGCTTTCCACAAGTCTTGGAAATTATGGCTGATAAGGAGGGCGCCAAGCCGCTGCGTTGTTCAAGCCCTGATGAACTAATGGCAGCAGTGAAAGAACGACAGCAATATGCACTAATCCGTAACCGCCTGAACCAAAATCAGAGTTCTCAGGAAGTGTCATTAGACTTGTGTGATGGAGATTCTGGAAGAATTCGTTATACCTTTTATGTGGTAGATAGTCCTACAGTAAGACTATCTCATGCCAATCACTTTGCAATATTTATAAGTAAGCTGATCTTTCTTCTTACTTTTTTTTTTTTTTCTTATGTCCTAATATTCTTTCTGTATGATTCTGCACTTAATGTAATATGAATAAGTCAATGTCCGAACACCACTTTAAAGGGGACTATAATTAGCTACTCTTCTAAAGGATTTCCCATTTTAAATTTAAAGGAATTCACATACAATACAAATTCAGATTGTGTGTGTGTGTGTTTTTTATATATATTTCATCCCTCTTTACCCCCTACTTTTTATCTCTTCTTTTTTTTTTTTTTTTTTTTTTCTATTTTTGCCATTTTTCTCTTCTGTCAGCATCTTACTAACACTCAAATCCTGGTAGCAGTGGCACTTAATTAAAGTATAACTCTAGGTTTAATTTAATTTTAAATAATTTGTTTGGGCCAAGCTGCTCCAAACCATCCATTTCCATTACTAAAACATGCACCTGCTGTATAAAACTGTATGTTGCTTCAGCTACGTGCAGTATACAGTGTTGTGTTCCACGCAGTCAGCCAGAGACTTCCTGTCTCATTTCCAGGACAAAATCAAGTTAGCCTGAGCTTTGCTCAACCAGTCATAGAAGGCCTTGTATTCTAAAAATGCACAGCTTCATGTGAATGGCTGAGTAATGCTCATCCTAACTGGATATTGTTCCAGGAACAGAGCAGGAAGTCCCGTACTGCTGCTAGAACACAGCGTTGTCAGGGCCATCTTTAATGCAAGGCAAAAGGGGCAGCTGCCCCAGGCCCAGTCATTGTGGGGCCCAAAAGCAGCTGCCCCTTGAGCCCTTTGTCTTGAAGGATCCCGGTCCCAGTGGTGGCAGGAGTAGGGGGAAGGCGAGCATCGAGGGCAGCTAGGATTGAGAGCCTATGAGCAGGAAGACTTCCACTGACACTGAGCAGCAGTGGGCGCAGCATCCCCAACGGTGGTGCCTCCCAGAGCATGGACTCCTCTAACCTCTCAGCTTGCAGCTCCGACAACTGGAGGACAGGCTGACCAGGGGCTCAGAGGACAAGGATGGGCTGGAGCGCAGATAGCCTGGGACCACATAGCAGAGGAATGAGCAGATCACCCAGAATGAGAACGGACGCAGCCCACTGCTGTCAGGTACAGAGCATCACACACACCTACTGGCAGACAGGGTCTGGGTCAGGGAGGCACAGGAGGAACAGTAGATAGGACTAAGGATCTCTCTCCCACCCCCCCCTTTCTCCCCCCCCCACCCCTCTCACTCCCCACCCCCACATGCAATTTTGCTCTCCACCTGCCCTGAGACATACAATAAGTAGCAGCTACACTCAAAATCAGTTTACTACACCAGATGAGGCAGTGATTGTGATTAGTTGCTAGAGGTTACAGAACATAATTTCTGCTTGCTGATTGGTTGCTAGAGGTTACTGCACATCATTACCGCTCACCCATTGGTTGCTGGGGCTAGGGTGGTAGCTTGTGATCAGTGGCAATGGTGGTGGTGGGGTGGTGCAAATGGGAAGAGTGACAACTTCTGACCCCACTTAGAGCAGAACTAAAGTCTATATTTAAAATGCAAGCAGGCAGACTTTTTACCACAGACGATATACACAATGGGTGTTATTTACTAAAGCTGCAAAATCTGGTGCAACTCTGCATAGAAACCAATCGGCTTCCAGGTTTTATTGCCAAAGCTTAATTGAACAAGCTGTTATGAGATGCTTGGCTGCCATGCACAGCTGTACCAGATTCTGAGGGCTCTAGTTTTAGTAAATCTACCCCACTGTCTCTTCTGCAACAAAATAAAAATGTAGACCAAGGATTTCCTGGTCACCATTATGCTTTAAAGGTATAATTTCACTTAAAATAGTTTGTTGGGCCAAGCTGGCCCAAACACACTATTTCCATTACCAATGCTTGCACCTGCTGGCAGTGCTGTATTAACTGTATGCAGCATTAACTGCATACAGTATACAGCACTCAGGGCCATCTTTAATAATGATTCCCAGAACAACTGGTCAAGATATTATATCCCTCTCTACCTCCACTAATGAAAGCCCTCCAGTTTCACTAATTCTGGATACCCAGGATTACCCCCAATGGGGGAAATGTCTAGAAACCCACTGATGCATAGAGTAGTCTTAAAGCATCCCATACTTTTCGAAGGAGAACAGCAGTGGGGCAGGGAGAAGAGAGAGCAGGGAGAGCCAACTCTAAGTGGGAGAGTGCTGGCAGAACTGAGTTGGTTAATGCAATCAGATTAGCCACTGAGTCTGAGTGATTCAAGAGCCCTCATCCAGTTGCTGAAGCTGTGCCACTAGGTAATACATTCTAGGATGTGGGATGGGTAGCCCCCCCTTTGTTCTTCCCATATTGTAAAGCCGACAGACTGATTCTGGCCTGTTGTTTCTGCCATATTAAATCTCAAAATTGGGAGTCTATTCATGAGAACCACATCTTTGCTATCCATATAGGGGAGTTGTGAAAAACGTATAGGAGCTGCGGTGCCCAAATCATTTTGATCAGGTTTACCCGCCCTACCACCGATAGGGGAAGCTTACACCAGGCCTTACATTTTGTTTTGTGCTTATCTAGTAGCGGAGCCAGATTTAGTTGTAGGTACTGATTAGGATCAGGGGAGACCATATTAAAAGGACGTAGTAACCGGTATTTTTACGAGGTACAAGCTGGTAGGGGCAAATTTAGTGGATCCAGGGACATAAGGGCAGATTTATTCCAATTAATGATAAAACCGGAGTATCTCCCAAATCTAGTGATAAGATCCATGAGTGCCTTCAATGAGTTGGTTGTGTCACCTAAATGTAATAGGGTGCATCAGCATAGAGGGAAATCTTTTCCTCCGTGTTTCCTCTGCGAAATTCATTATGTCCGCAGAGTTGCAGATCATAATGGCCAGAGGCTTTATTGCCAAGGCAAGAGCAGGGGGGAGAGGGGACACCCCTGCCGAGTGCCCCTCGGAAAGTTTGTTAAATTGATGCCCAAGCCAAATCTAGAGAGTACTTCCCAAAGGTAGGGCCATTCCACACTGTCAAACGCCCTCACAGAGTCTAACGAGAGAATGGACCCCCCCCCCCCCCGAATTGTCCACTGACATTTGAAGATTACTAAATGGGTGTCCAATATTATTCACTGCTGATCTGGAGGGGATAAGCCCAGGCTGATCCTCATGAATCTGTGTACCAATGACCTTAGCCTGGTCGCCAAGACTCAAGCTAAGAGTTTAATGTCTCTATTCAATAAAGAAATGGGGCAGTATGACTCTGGCAAAAGTTTCTTTCCCAGGTTTCGGGAGTAAAATAATTATAGCTTCCTGCATAGAGTTCGGCAGTTCTTTTTATGTAATTTTCATTTTTTTAAATTCTATAACTTTGCCTGAACTAATATCTTGTAATCTTGTTATTAAAGTTGTTACTTAGGCAGTTTCTGTTAAAGGGAGACAACTCCCTGTCCCCCGTGAATGGTTTTCCTGCATTTTCACTCTGGCACATTTGCTTTCAGTAAGCTTTGTAAAAACTTACTGAAGCACATGGTGTACAAATGCTTGTACTGGGCAGTGACATACCCACACAATCATAGTACTTTAGCAAACTAAAGCAGCTGTATTCCCTAACTGGATGACATTTAAAGGAATGTGTTCTACATGTACCTAGTAACAAAGCAACTTTTTTAATTTTTAGGAAGTATTTGTGGGTTAGAAAACACACAGGTCAAACTTGAATTTAGCTTCTATGTGAGGTGAACATCTGTTCTATACTGTAGCTCTTATTACATCCAGGGTGATCTTTGTCAGTCACATTCTTGAAACTTGCAGTTTAAGAAGTTACTGCTAATAAGACACACTATTGCTAAAATCAGGTGTGTAGGAAAAATAAAGTGGCAAGGTCACCCCCCCAAAACACTAATAAAGTCATACAACAAGGATGAAAATAAGTTACATTGGGAAGCTGAATACCTATTTTTTATATTTTTTGTTACTGCAGTTACTTTTGGATTCCTGTTTTCCAGTTCCCCAGGGAAGAGAAACAGAGTGGCTGTTTGGTTCTGAACCTGGACGGAGACAATTGGCTAGAAGCGTTGGATTCCGTCGTCTGATAATCGTGGCCTTGCATAGGGATCAGCACTTTGAAAGCATGGATTCTATTCAGTCAGAGCTGTCTGCTAAAGTTCTAGAACTAGCTCCGTCAGGATTGGCAGATAACCAGCAGGTAAAAATTGTGTGCTGCCACCACTATAGCCCACTGAGTTTGGATCTTAAGGCTAATAATCTCTAAAATGTAAATGCTGGTCTCTAGGTTATTTAGAAATACCTGTCCTTGCTTTCCCAAAGAAGTACTGAATTACTGCGGCGATAATACTTTCTTTACTTGTTCCAGTCCAGCCTGTCAACTCCTCCCCTACCAGAAGCCCAATTTGTGGCATTTCTATTGTTGAGCACTGACATCATTTACACTCATTAGTGTAGCAGGGCTGATAGTTCTCTGCATATCGATGGAGAAAGGCAGGAGAGCACTGACAAGGCCCTCATTGTGTAACCTTTTACTGAGCATGACTGTTGTGGAGCTCTGACTACTCTCCATTGATTCCTCCTGTATCTGCTGTGTGCGTGCTTGTGAGTATTTACCAGACAGCCGCTTGGACACCCCAAACCCCCTCTCCTTCTTAGTTGACATAATGGGGTCGATTTACTAAAACTGGACAGTGCAAAATCTGGTGCAGCTGTGCTGGTAGCCAATCCGCTTCCAAGTTCAGCTTCTTCAATTGAACTGACAATAAAAAGCTAGACGCTGATGAGATTCTATGCAGAGCTGCGCTAGATTTTGCACTGTCCAGTTTTAGTAAATCAACCCCAATGCCTCCTTCTGTTTGTGCTGTGATGGTGTTGGGCAGTCACCGCAAATCAATTATTCCATTCCAAGCAGCGTAGTTGGGCAGTGCTCGGGCCAGGGATGGTGTGTGCTGTTCATCATACCAGCTCTGGATCTATGTGTTAAAAATGTGTTTTAGAGTTAATAATTTTAGGAAGTGTGTACTGAAAGAAATAAGGGGGCTGATGCTTGGTAGGCTTTATATTCCAAAAATGTTTGTTGAGCCGTTGTGCTCATTTTTAGGTGAATACGTGTGCAAAAATGAGCCTGCACTATAGGATGAAATAGTTACAACTGTTGAATATTTAATAGAGAACACAGTTGGTAGTATTTTACATTTAGTCAGGGAAATATTTGTGAGAGCTGATTGTCTGACCTCACCTCTGTATAGTAGAAGTAGGTACAGAGTCTGTAAGTAGTTTTCCATAGGTCACAATCCTAGATCATTATGTAATAGCCTGGCCTAACTCAACACCAGTGAGTAAGGATTGGTGCTAAGCCCTCCAGTCCAAGAGCACTATGACTGCTCAGCAAATGCAGAGAAATGTTTTATCAACGTCTCATGCTTTACATTTATCTTACTTTTTCATTTTCCTGATCAATTGTTTAATCCCCATTTTACTTCTTTAGTGCACTGTTAAAATGAGTCATTCTTTCCAGATCCCATTTCTATCGGCTGGCGGAGATATAGGAACCCGAACAGTGCAGTATCGTGGACGGAGTGAACTGAGTGGGGAATACGTAGTTGAGGATGCCCGAGGGGATGGAACTAGCTACTTCAGGCGTCTTATATTCCTCAATAACCAAAATGTGGTGCAATCTGAGGCCAGACTACTGCCAAGTGCCACCCAAAAAGGTAAGAGATATGATGCTTGCATTTTAGATCATATTTGATGAAAATGTAGTGCTGCTTTCATACTGGTTTGCTTTTTATCATGTTCTAGTTGGTATTCACTGAATCTGCATTCTAGCATGTTTGTACTGCTACATCCCCAAATGGTAACTATATTCTCATTGGATAAGCACTTTTTCTTTCGCCATAACTGAAGGATATCTTTGCACCTGGCAATCGGCGTTTATTTTTTTCACCTTCTTTTGCCACTTTTGAACCTTGGAATGTAAATTCTGAAATAGAACTTCTGAGGAGGCTGCTAAGGCTGGCCATAGACAGGCTGTTGTCGACCGATAAACGAAAAATCGGTCGTTGCCGATGCTGCCACCAATGTCCACAAAAAACAGCCATTTTTCGTGGATTTTCCAGCATGACTGATAAAAATAAATGAGAAGATCCACGAAAAACGGCCGACGGGCTGGCCCCCCACTAACTACGTGAATATCAGCCGATTTTTTCGTGCGGGGGAAAATTCGGCCGATAAACGACCCGTCTATGGCCTGCATATAAGACCTATGAATCCCTGCTAACAGCAGGGATGACTCATTGTTTGGACACCGGTGGATGCCAGCTACTTAACAACCAATGACTCCCTACTTCTGACAGCCTGCTTCTAACGGCCAACAGAGATCGCAAGCAAAAATGCATTCCAGTGTGTTTTGATGCGCTTTGCCACATTCCGCTACAGTCAAGTGCAGAAAAAAATGCAGCATGTTCTAATTCTTTTGACTGCACTGGTGTGAACTATGCAATTGAAACTCATATGTCCATGCATTTTTGGTTCAGAAAAAAATGCACTGGACTGCATCTGGTGTGAACCGCTCTAAGAGAAATGGATCAGAATTAAAATCTCGACATTATGTATGCATTGTTGACTGTATAGTGTGCTTCTATGGACTATAAGAGGTTTTAAGGCAGCTTACTTTCCTGAAAACTGACACATACCTTGTGTAAAGTGATGTGTTTTTTTTCCTTTCTGCTAGGACAGAAAAAGAAGAAAAAAGACAAGAAGAAACAGCAGCCAGCAGACAAAGGAGAGTCTCAGGCATCTCTTATTATTGACAAAAGCTTCTTGTGCTGTGAACATCACAAAGTAATGATCTCAGGACTGGCACTGCTCCGCAATCCAGGAGTACTTCCAGGTATTGCTTTACATGGCTTGTGAATGGCATACTTGTGAAATGTATGCTGAGATCCAAGAGTTTGTTTTTCAAGCTTGTGCTTGGTAAATGGAATGATGCAGCCTTTTGGAGCTTGGCAAATATTAAGGCAGTATTAAACACAAAAGCAAACATTTATTACATTGCTTAATACATTGCAGATGTCCTGAGGCATTACTCATCTTTTCAAGGCTTATTTTCACCTTGTGATCTCGCCAGTAGGTGTGTTTTTTATTTTTATTTTTTTTTTTTTTTCTTTTTCAAAAGAACATGCTTTCCTTCAGATATAGCAGTTAGAGAGATGAGGCAAACCATTCACCACTGACAAGGGTTCTTACAATGATCAGCTTTTATTCATTTGTGTAAGACATTTATCACAAGGAAAAAATAGTTGCTGTAACTGCTTTTAAAGTGTTAGCTGGGGTTTGGCTTCATAGCTTCAATTTGTTTGTGTATCTAAATCTGCAAGTGCATCTAATAATACCCTTCCCACAGACTGACAATGCTGCTGTCCAAAGGTGCCCCTGTGCTCCTTCATCCAGGGTGTAGGTACTCTAATACAGAAGGTGTGTTACTGGCAAGATCACTGGGTGAAAAGTCTTAAAGAAAACTAATGCAGCTGCCACTTCTAATAACTGGTAAGCTGCAATATATTACACATTTGGTTTTTGGTTTTGAAGCTGCTTTAAGCATATTTAGCACACAGAAGTGCTTAAGGGTAAATACCATTTAGTTAGCTAGAAAACACGTTCTTTCATATTCAGTCTATCAAATACCAATGTTTCAGGTCAATGCAGTCTAGAAGTAAGGGGTTTCAGATCATGTAAGGTCCTTGATCATAGCTGGGGACATTACAAACACAATAAATACTACCTTCAGCACTGCTCCTTTCTCTTCTTAATGTTATTTTGGAATGGGAATTTTTCATGCATAACCGGCAAGTACAAAGGTGGATCAACAAAAACTGCTTATATCTCTTTGACTATAACAAGAGTAAAGAGCTAAGAATAAGATCCCTGTGTGGTCTGAAAGGTGTAAGATCTGGACTGCATTTCTATTGCTACCCTTGCTAATTAATACATTGCATGTGGCAGGGTGAATGTGTTGCTGATCACATTCACACTAAGATGAATGTATACATTTTCTTGTGGTGTCGTTTGAAGACATCTCAGAAAAGCTTAAAGGGTTAAAATGGTTTCTTTCCTTATAATTTTAAAAGAGCTTTTATGTGGGTCACAGGAGTGCCCTTAGTTTTGCAGTCTGTGATCCAGAGTAAGCTGAGCTATTGCCTTCTATCAGCTGCTGTCACAGCTGCTACAGGCTTTGGAAGGATCACGACCATATTGTTGGGATCCACTCAGCTTCCTGATTGACCGCTGACTCTGGCTCTCAGCTCCCACCCCCTTCTCCGGCCTAGCACTCCAGTGAGCACTGGAGGGGCAGAGCAGAGAGCAGTGACTGACAGCCACTGCTCTTCACTCTGAGCAGACTGAAAGCTGAGCATTGGGCGATCATGTAATTGCTCAGTTCTCGGTCTTAGAGTTGATGTGGGAGAGAGATGCAGCATCAGACTGATGCTGCTGCATAGAGGTGAGTATACGGTATATATATATATATTTTTTTTTACAAACCCCAAACTTCTGCTTCAACTGTTAAATAGACTTGCCGCATGCAGATATGATTCTATTGACGTAATACATGCATAGGCATTGTTTTTCCTTATAATTGAGGTTTATTAAAGTAGAACAGTGCAAAGACCAGTGATGTGATGAGATCCAGCAAAGGCAATCACAAAGCCGTTTTGTAACGTTTACTTTCATCCGATACATACCAACTTATTCTTATTAGTTGTGCTGGGGTGCTGTAAAAAAAATGGATAAGCCATGCTTTTTAAATGCAGGCTGTCTGTGTTGGTATGTGGTTTTTCTCACTGTATAAAATACCCTACTCTCTACAGTAAGCTAAAATTTAAAATGCAAGATTTTACCAGGCATGATCACACAATCCATGTTTTAATGTACTTTTAAGTCTTGCTTTTCTTTTTACAGACCAGCACATCTCTGTATTGGTGGTAGGACTGGGAGGAGGCAGCTTATCCCTTTTTATCCATGACTATTTCTTGGGTTCACGGGTTGAAGCCATTGAAATTGACCCTTCTGTGTTGGAAGTGGCCACCAGTTGGTTTGGCTTCAGTCAAGATGAGCGTATGAATGTTCATTTAGCTGATGGATTGGTTCATATCAACAACTTCGCAGACAAAGGTAAGTTGACATCCCTGTTGTGTTTGATTAATTTCATATGTAACATACTTTTGGACGGCACAGCTGTTATTGAGACTATATACGAGAAAAGCATTTTATTTTTCAATAACAACCAATAAGTTCCTTTTTTTTTTTTTTTTTTTTTTTTTTTTTTTTTTTTTTTTTTTTTTTACACTTCTTACTGCTCTTTTTGTACAAAGGGCCTGAAATAAAACGATTTGTGTCCCATAGGAACCAAATTGTTTTTACGCTCTCATTGGCATAAATGACAGCTAGAAACTTGTTTAGCAGCATGAATGGTTTCCTTCAACCCTTGGTCTGCCAAGAATGTGTTGGATCCTAAGCTGCCAATTTCTCATGTAATATCCAACCCAACCAATTTCTTTTTCCCTGAATTATGATCAGAAGAGTTCCCACAGGCCATTCATGGTCTAACCACAAACTACCAGATCAGGTGAATGCTCTTTAATGTCTATAGTGTATTTTAAACACAAAGTACAACAGTAGCTTAGTATAAAAACAGAATTACAGAAAAACAGAATTACATGTGATCACTCACAGACACTTTATAATATGTTGTTGGGTCCATTGCTTCTCATTAACACATGCTATGTTTTAAGATGAAGTGTAAGATCTCATCACAAGTGGTAGAATCCCTAATCTCTGGATCTATGCTCTTTTTGTACAGATAAAGCTGCTTATGATGTGGTAATGTTTGATGTGGACAGTAAGGATACCAGTCTTGGCATGAGCTGTCCACCACCTGCTTTTGTGGAGAAAGGTTTTCTTCAAAATGTACACAAACTCCTCAAGAATGATGGTGAGTAGAACATAATACACTGCTCAAAAACATTAAAGGAACACTTGAAAACACATCAGATCTCAATGGGGAAAATATCATGCTAGGTATCTAAACTGATATGGATTGAGTAATATGTTAGGAACATAAGGATGCCCCATCGTTTGATGGAAATTAAAATTATCAACCTACAGAGGACTGAATTCAGAAACCCTAAAAATCAAAGTGAAATAATGATGCAGCAGGCTAGTCCATTTTGCTAAAATTTCATTGCAGCAACTCAAAATGGTACTGTATGGCCCCCACGTGCTTGTATGCATGCCTGACAATGTCGGGGCATGTTCCCAATGAGAGGACAGATGGTGTCCTGGGGTATTTCCTCCCAGATCTGGACCAGGACATCCCTGAGGTGCAACCTGGTAGCGTCGTATGAACCGAAACATGATATCCCAGAGGTGTTCTATTGGATTTAAGTCAGGCCAGCGTGGGAGCCATTCAATGGTATAAGTTTCTTCATCCTCCACGAACTGCCTGCATACTCTTGCCACATGAGGCCGGGCATTGTTGTGCACCAGGAGGAACCCAGGACCCACTGCACCAGCGTAGGGTCTGATAATGGGTCCAAGGATTTCATCCCAATATCTAATGGCAGTCAGGGTGCCATTGTCTAGCCTATAGAGGTCTGTGTGTCTCTCCATGGATATGCCTCCCCAGACAATCACTGACCCACCACTAAAATGGTCATGCTGAACAATGTTACAGGCAGCATAACGTTCTCCTCGGCTTCTCCCCAGACCCTTTCACGTCCATCACGTGCTCAGGGTGAACCTGCTCTCAGCTGTGAAAAGCACAGGGTGCCAGTGGTGGACCTGCCAATTCTGGTGTTCAACGGTAAATGCCAATCGAGCTGTATGGTGCCAGGCAGTGAGCACAGGGGCCACTAGAGGATGTCGGGCCCTCAGGACAACCTCTTGAAGTCTGTTTTTGATTGTTTGGTCAGAGACACATTCACACCAGTGGCCTGCTGGAGGTCATTCTGTAGGGCTCTGACAGTGCTCGTCCTGTCCCTCTTTGCACAAAGGAGCAGATACTGGTCCTGCTGATGGGTTTAAGGACCTTCTACGGCCCTGTCCAGCTCTCCTAGAGTAACTGTCTGTCTCCTGGAATCTCCTTTCTCTTGAGACTGTACTGGGAGACTCCGCAAACTTTCTGGCAATGGCACATATTGATGTGCCATCCTGGAGGAGTTGGACTGCCTGTGCAACCTCTGTAGGGTCCAGGTATGGCCTCATGCTACCAGTAGTGACACTGACCCTAGCCAAATGCAAAACTAGTGAAAAACAGTCAGAAAAGATGATTAGGGAAGAAAATGTCAGTGGCCTCCACCTGTAAAACCATTCCTGTTTTGGGGGTTGTCTCATTGTTGCCTATCTAGTGCACCTGTTAATTTCATTAACACCAAAGCATCTGAAACTGATTAACGACCCCCTCTGCTACTTAAATTACCAGATTACTATCCCAGGAGTTTAATTGACTTGATGCTATACTCTGATTAAAAAGTGTTCCTTTAATTTGTTTGAGCAGTGTATATTGTGTGTCTGTGTTTTTGCATTCTTAGAGAATTTGAGGATAAGAGGTTTTCTGCTGGTGAAAAAGATACCTCTTCTTTTTTTTTTTTTTTTTTTTTTTTTTTAGAGAAGAGAGATTTGCTAGTACTTAAAATGGTTCTTCACTCTGGGATAAAAATTAAAAGTCAGCAGCTACAAATCCTGTAGCTGCTGATTTTTAATGAAAGGATAATTACCTGCCCAGGGATCCAGTGCCGTCCTCACCTGGGCTAGTTCTTCGCTAGCTTTTGGGTTCCTGGTGCCGGCATCCTAACTGTTGGCAGCCAGCTATGCTGCTTGCAGCTTCACAGCCAGCTGCCCACTGCGCATGCATGGCTTGTGTTTTGTGCTTTGTGAATGGTCCCACAGCCTTCTGGGACCTGTGACATGTCCAAAAAGCTGTGTGGAGGGGGTGGGGAGGTGAAGTTCTGCTTGGATGCCCTAGGCGATCTGAGTAGAATTGAAAACCGGTACCTGTCAAAATCACCCTCTGCCCCCCCCAAAAAAAACAAAAACAAAAAAAAAAAAAAAAAACAAAAAGGCCATAGACTTCTGTTGAACAGCTTTTTTTAATCTTCTTTTTCAATAGGCTATACTCAATTCATGTATTCCTTCACATCTTCTGAATGATATTGAATCTGAGCTTGCATTATTGTAGTCCAGTGCATTCACTTTATGGGTAGCAGCTTCCCCAAGAGTCCACTGTAGCTCTACTCAAACACATTGTATCATGAAACAAGAGGAAGCACTTCTACCATAGTCACACAGAAAAAAATTAATAAATGTAACTGAAAAGTCTCATAGTTCCATAAAATAGGTGAAGTGGTGGCACTTTCTGGATCTTTCATTGTCAGTCGCACTGTCAAGAGGTGCAGAGGTCCCTCTGTGTCACCAGCAGGGGCAAAAAACTCTCTCACTGAGGTGCAACCCTTGTGTGTCTTCATCAGATCCATTGATGGTGAGGATGTTATGCTGCTAAAACATTGGGGCATGTCAGAAAGCTGAGCCGTTGACATCTAACGTGTCTACGTTAACCAAAATCAGTCAACACCTTTTAATTAGGTGCACGCTGACTGCACGGACCTTACTTGAAAGCCTAGTGTTTAGAGCCAAGCGTGGAGCTTGCAGGATGATAGCGCTTCAGTGCAGAGAAATGACCAGCAAATAGTAGAGTTGAGCCTGCAGGGCTAATCCCCCCCCCCCCCCATTTCCAACAAGATTGGGGAAACAACTAGCAGTGTGTTACCCCCCCCCCCCCCCACCCAGTGTGGAGCTGATGAGAGGTTGCTGTATCCATTTGTTCAAACAGAAGCAAACTAATTTTCCCATGGTCAACAACCTGAGCAAATCTACTCGTGAAGAAAAAAAAAAAAAAGCAAAAAAAAAAAAAAAAGCTGGGTGATCGGAAACGGAAGGTGTTCTCCCTCCCTGTAGACTTTTGGGACACTTGACAGGTCCCAGAAGACTACAGGACCATTTATGAAGCGCAGTGCTACTCGCGCATGTGCAGTGGGTGCCCACAGTGAAGATGCCGGCCTCCTGGAATACAGGATGGCCAGTGAAACGGGCTGCAGGGGACACACCACGGGACCAAGGGACAGATAAGTGGCTGTTTTTTAAAAGCAGCTACAGTTATTTTAACTGCTGACTTTTATTTTTTGATAGGTCGAGTGGAACTCCACTTTAAAGATTTTCCAGTTATTTATTACTAAACCATTTTGCACATAGTTGGCCCTTGTCAGCATCTTCCTAGGCACTTGTCCAAAGCATTGGGCTGTTAGAAACTGGCCACGGGATATTTTTAAAAGTTCTTTTTGTACCCAAAATATACAGCAGCAATGTTTCCGGGAAAGCAATAGTAATTCCCTCAATCGTTGCTGCCTCTGTTGTTTGAAGCTTTTTCTTTTTTTTTTTTTTTTTTTTTTTTTTTTAATGCTTTTTATACATGTTTTTGTAATCTCTATCATGTAGATGATACTGAATGATTTGGTTTCTGCTGAATTTAAGTGCAAAGGGCTTTCTTTGCTTTATCTGCTAGAAAAACCTTTTCTTGCAGGGATCTTCATTTTGAATCTGGTGTGCCGTGATGCCGTTTTGAAAGAACAAGTGATGAGAGTCATTCATGAAGTTTTCCCTCTAATTTATGCTCAGAAGATCGAGGATGAAGTGAATGAAATCTTATTTTGTTGCCCCAATTCTGAACTGAAAATTAACCTGACAGATCTAATGGAATCAGCTAAAAACTTGGAGAAACAGTTAAAGAGGCCCGGAGTTCTCTGGGATGAGACCTATATCCTGGCGGAAATGTTCAAGTCAATACAAATAGTTTGAATAATCAGCAGTCTTTGAACATGTTTACAGGACAGTCTACCTTCTCAAGAGAAAAACATTGGACTAGTATCTGAAACAGATGGAGAGTAACTCAATTCTTTGTTAAAAATGATATAACATATACAGTATAGCATAGTTTCTACACAGTACTTATATTTTAGTGTTAAAGAACTGAATTCTGGAAGCTGTGCTCAAAAATGGCATGTAGAGAGAGCAATTGACTAGTCGGCTGTGCTACCTGTGATCTCCCTTCATTCAAGTCTTCCCTATTACTGATTACCTTGCCCTGTTCTGCATGGTGCAGCTGTGTGGTAGATGGCCATCTTGGTAGAGGCAGAACTTTGCTTTCTCATGGCAGAGCTACCTTTTTGATGATTGGTTGGGAATTATTCAAGAAGCAGCAGGAGAGGTTCACAAAGCAGAGAGCCAAATGAATCGCAAACCTTAAGATGCATGGAGTGCAGATTCGTCTCCAACAAGCAGCACAGCAATGACATTCAGAAAATATAACTTCCTGTCTCCTGAGACTAGCAATCAAAGGCATCAGTGCCTTAAAGGATAAGTTTGCCATTGGAAAATGCTGCATGTTCCCGTCCGTTTTTGGGTGGAACATGTAACATGTTCCAGCATCTGCAGCCTCCCCCCTGATCCCACCTTGCTGTGACAGCAAGTGGAGGATCTTCTCCGCTCCACTGTTACAGTTTTAAAATAGTGTGGCTATGCGATGCTCCGGCCACACAGCTACATCATTTATTCATAATTTCCTGTGAAGGAATGCTTACAAGTCAAACATTACTGCTGTCGGCTTGTAGTTCTCAATGCACTGTGAGGGCGCTGCTGAATGCTCTCATAGTTCATTGACCTTTCTGCTCTCAGGTAACTACCTTGCCGTATGAGATATGGGCAGATAGCTACCCTAAGACTCTGCAGGAGCTTGAACCTGAGATGTGCTGCTCACTGGTGCAATGTTCCCCAGGCTCTTTAGAAAAAAATAATAAATGCACTTTTTTTATTATCTGCAAAATAATGTGCTTTTTTTTTTTTTTTTCTTTTTCTAAAGGTGATCTTTTACTTTTAAGATATCAAACTGCAGATATACAAATATGAGGTTTATAGGCTCAGGAGTGCCTAGGCACCCTCACATACACTGCAAATTTTCAGGAGGAGGAAAAAAATGTGCAATTTTTTTAGGGAAAAAATCTTCAGGTACAATTAACATTTCGAGATGTTCCCTATTAAATAGCAAATCTTTCCTTTTTTAAAGTCAGGTCCACTTCAATACAAATTACCTTTCTAATTCAATCTGAAGTCAGCTAAATTTTCTAAAAGTAAAAAGCAAAACAGTGGTCTGAGAATT